AATTGCATGATGATGATGGTATCCCATTTATCGAAGTTTTTGTTGATGCTCCATTAGAAGTTGTTGAACAACGTGATCCTAAAGGTTTATACAAGAAGGCAAAGCTCGGAGAAATTAAAGGTCAATTTTTTTTTACTCGAATTTGTGGCACAGCAACAAATTTTCAAATAAATCGCGTGTAAAAAAAAACAAATCAAAATTAAAAAATAAATTCGTTTATAGAGTTTACCGGTGTTTCTGCTCCATATGAACAACCTTCGTCTCCAGAGCTTCATATTAAAACTGATAAATCTTCAATAGAAGAAAGTATAAAGGTAATAATGAACATGAACATTTTATATTTATTATGCAAAATTATTAATTAATTGTATTTATTATTTTTTTTTATCATTAAATAGATTTTAGTAAATTATTTAAAAGAGAAGAACTATATTGCTAATACATTATAATTAAATAATTTATTTGTGAAAAAAATGAAAAAAAAAAAATTGTCATTAATTCAATTTTTTATATAAAGATTTTTGGAATTGAAAAAAAAAAATAATAATTATGTAGTATGATGAATGTATAATACTAATTGAAATCGAGTTTCGATCGTTTTTGATTGTTTGAATTTTTCTAAATAACTTTCTTTTTTAAATATAAAGTCTCCGTCAAGGAAACAACAAAAATCTCTTAAATTAATTGTTATTATTATAAATTATTATAACAAAATGTCATTAACCTTATTTGTTACTTCTTTAACTCCAAACATCTTCCAGGTATCTTCCTTTGCTCCTTAAATCTTTAACGTAGTTTGTTGCAGTAATTTCATCCATTGCACCACATAATTGTGCAATTTGGATAAGTCCGGAGTTAACGTCACGTGCCATATTTTTGGCATCCCTTAGAAGGAAAACAATATTAGTATAGATCAAAAGTTCTTTGCTAAAAAAAAAAAAATGCATCAATGAATGGATACTATACCCGCATACATAAAAATAACCACCACGATTATAAAGTAAATCCCAAACATATTCATCATGCTCACGAAGTTTATGCTGTACATATACTTTTTGTGACTAGACAAACGAAAAAAATAATTTAGTATTATAGATATTAAATAATCAACAATCGAGGGATAATGCATACTTGTTCTCTTGAAAATGCCGTTATCAATTTTCCACTCTTATCGAGAGTGGCAAACAATTCATTTAACTCGCTTTCGTATAAAAAGTCTTCATCTCGTCTTCGACAACCGAAAAACAAAACTGTATCACCAACTTCCTCTCCTTGAGCCTTATAATGTGCCCTTTCAATAACAAACCCTCTGAAAGGTGCTATACCTGTTCCAGGACCAACCATTATAACAGGAGTCTTGAGATCTTTAGGTAATTTGAAATTATTATGTCTAACATGTATGGGCAACATAATTTTGCTGGTTGCTTCATCACAATATTTATTTCTTGGTCCAGAATATAAATAGGATGGTAATGATTCTGGATGTGGAATATTTCTTAGTACACGACTGACTTGTAATAAATAATTTGTTGCAAGACCGTATACAGTCTTTTGAGGTGCTGTTGAGGGATTAAAGGTTAATACAGTAGCAGTAACGTGAATTGATGTAGGTGTGGATTTCGGCGAACTTGATATTGAATAATATCTAGCCTGTAATCTCGGAAGGGTCTCGATAATTAAGTCTAAAGGAATAGAGTTCAAAGGATTTCCGTCTGGAGAAATCGATTCCAAAACTTCAGCTAATGTAAGATGTGCATCAGAAACTTGAACTCGATAAGCTTCCTTGTCTTGACCCAAAGCAGTGAGCTTAGATCTGCCTTCCTCGGTTGGTGCGAAATTTGCCAAATTGGCAATGAACTGACGTGAAGTTGGAATATGGATATCAAGATAATTTCTGAAAATAGTTGCATAAGTTGTTGGGATTGGGAATGGATATTTTTTAGATACAGTTGCTATTCGATATAGAAAATTTATATATAAATATTAACGCCTTGTAAATCTAAATATTGTAAATTAACTAAAAACTACTTACAATCTGTACTTTCAACTGAGACAACAGTGTCTCTCTTTTCCCAAAGACCCAATATTTTAAGCAATCTTACAACATCTTGTTCGGCATTCATGGGCCAAATAGCAACATGGTCACCAGCCTCGTAATTAATACCAGACCCTTCAATGTCCAACTCTAAATGAACACAATTGCGAATGGTAGATTTAAAAAGATCGTGAGTATTGGTAATTGGAGCTGGATAAGGGTTCTTGGCATCATAAGTCGGGCGACTAAAAGGAAAGAATATATATAAAAAAACAACGGATTTAGTTACAGTAAAAAAAAAAATTTCAAATCCAGGTTTCCCTATGAACTTACATTGAATTAATCATTAGACTGTGCTCATTGTATTCACCGTAATAAACATTATTACTGTCAAAAGTTTCCAATTCAGTAATTTTATAAGCAGAGATGCGATCCCTATAATGTAATTAAAAATGAAATAATAAGTACAACTAGAAAATTTGGAGCAAAGGCATAATTTGTGATCACCCACCCAGTTTTAACTTCACTTTGATCGATTTGCATAGCTTCACAAACAGCTTTCCACATATCCTCTTTCCAACCAAGGAAATCTTCTTCTAGACTACCATCATCATCACCTTCACCGCGTTCACCAATTCTAGAAGCACCAAATTCAGTCAATTTTTTATCGACGGTTCTTCCAACTGCGTTGAAATGTTCATATGTTCTATTTCCCAAAGCGAACACGACATAACGAAGAGAAGATAAAGGTTTCTCTTCAACTGGTATTCCTTCCGAAAATTCGGGGGATTCCGTGGTGATCAATTCCCAGAAATCGACAGCATCATCGGTAGGTTCACCTTCACCTATTTACAAGTAAACCAAAAGATCAGAATTTAATTAATGAACTTTAATCGATAAATAAATTAATCTTGAATAAAGATTATCTAACTGGGTGTATTACCGTAGGTAGCCATTATAAAGAAAGCTATATAGTCGTTCTCAAATTTATCAAGAAGGGTCATGTCACAATCCTCAACGTCAACGGTCATAGTTTTGAGACCAAAACGTTGTTGGCCTTCTTTTGCAAGACGAGAAGCATAATCTTCAGCGGTTCCAGTTTGGGATCCGTAGAAAAGAATAACGTTCTTATCCTAGATTTAATAAATGAGTGCGTATGAAACAATATGCAATAAATTATATACAACTGCAAGAATAATCGAATTAACTTACCGTATCTCTCATTCTCTTGAGAAAATCTTTATTTTTCTTTGGTGGACCTGCAGGTTTGAGCGTAGAATTCGATATTGGTGCAGGTTGTGCGGTACCAATTTTCTTGTTACCAAATATAGCATCTTTATAGATATATACAACGGCAACAGCTCCGGCAATAAGTAAAAAAATGAGATCGAAGGTATCAATTAATGGTTCAGCAGTTTGCGAATCGTTTAGATTCTGATCAAGGTTTTCGTTACTCATATTGGGTTATTTTAGATCTTGATAAATAAAGTAAGATCTTTAGTAGTGTAGAACAACAGGTTATGAATAATCCCAGGAAGACAAAAAAAAATATATATATATATTTAATAAAATAATTATAGTTATTTTGGAAATGATCCGAATTAGTCCCTTTTGTCCCTTTTATATTTTTTTTGAATTATTATTCTCGTGATCTACTTTTTTCGGGCCTTATTTTCCCGATTCCAAAAACGGCGATAAATAAAGCCTATCCAGGAAGTTGAAAGAATATCATTTTAACAATAAAATTTTATCAGCTAATTTTTTTTTTTATTATACGTGGATAAGAAATATTTGTTGTTTGTCGAATTATATAACAATGTGGTTGTGTACAATGCATATCATACATATAATAGAATCCATTTAAATTTTTCATGTGAAAATTATATAAAATTAAAAGTCAATAATTTGGCGATTGGATAATGCATAACAGGTAAGTATAATTCGGGGATTGCCTTTTCAGGAAACCGTTATTCTAGATACTTATGAAATCGTTATGATAATTATGTAAACACAGATGTCGTCTCATTTTTGAGACTTCACTGCTATCTTTCATTAATCCATAGTCAATGAATTTCTGGATTGCTTACTCCGTCCTCTAATTTTTAAGAATTTCATGCGTCATCTTGAAAATAAGAAAGTTCTTTTGTTTTCTGAGATCGAATGCACACCATCATAACCATCACCATCATCAATGATAGACAATATTTCGGATTTTATAGTTATTTTAGCTCCCTGGATTAGTCTTTTCTCCTTAATGATTCATAATCCCATCTTCATCTTCAATTGATCCCTAAAACTTATGTCAAATGTGCAGTATTTATTGTCTCGTATTTAAATAAATTAATTTAGTTTACTATACTAATTAAAATTAAAATTAAAAGGTGTGTACTGTATGTACAGTTCATCCCTTGTATATTTAAAACAAAATGAAGATTTAGGTTACGGCTGTCCATTAAGAGTGAGCTAGAACCTTAGGGTTTAAGGTAGATGCCTGCATTTGGTCGAATTTTGGACAAAAACTATTACACCCAGGCCGGCTTATGCAATATCATGCGAGAGGTACTCGCCAACACTTTTTACCCCACGTGATTTTTTGGCCGGCATTACTGAACTTGGCCGAAATTATCCGAAAAATTCTAAGTTCCTGAATTATATATTAAAAATGAAAAAGCAGAGAGATTAAAAAGTGTTAGCAATACTGGAAAAGATAAGAGGTATTTAAATTATAAAAGCAATTTTTATATAACAAATATCACAATTATCTTCATCATCATATTTAATAAAAAAAAATCTTATAACTGACAAATTTTCTTTATTTATTAAATTAAATTAAATCTTTTAATATGAAAAAGCAAAAGTTTCAGTTTTAAAGCATATAACCTTTACTAAATATTAACATGAATTTTATGAATTAAATGATAAAATAGTCTGTATTACTTATAAATATCATATTATTAATTATTAATTATAGATAATCTTATTTATATCACATAAAAAAAATAATATAAATACATATTTTTTAATGAAAAAAAATTATATAAAATAGTAACAAGCAAGATATTTATTTGGTTTTAAATAAAATTTTTTGTAAAAACTGATGTTTTATTTTGAAAAATGAAAAAATCAAGAAAATCTTATATAAAAGATAGTTTACAAATTTATAATATTTTTTATTGCTATTTCTTCTTTTAATATAATTATATATTGTCACTGAGTTCATTTTCGTTTATCTTAATGTCTAAGTTGAAAGGCTGCGACAGCTGATTCTACACGTTAGAGTTTCTGACCTTAGGATTTTCTTTAAGCCCTACAGGTATTCGTTATACTTGAATCAACTTGGCAATTTATCACGTCTTAAAACTTAAGATATGTTAGTCAAACTCGTAATGACGAACTCAATAGTAAGTTAGTATAGTGTATCATAACAATCCTAGGTGAAGGACAATGTTAAAGGGAAAAGTAGTTTGTGTAGATTTAAATAGATTCCTTTATTTATAACTTGAAACTCGCAAAAGAGTTAATTTACAACTTAAGCAAAAAGCTATTCTATTTATACAA